GCACTAGTGTAAAATGAATAATTTATTTGGTTGCATGATGTTGTTAACATCTTGTAAAAATAACAAACTGATTTATGTCTTAATATAATAATTTAAGATGTATGTTAGTTTTTGGGTTGCAGGGTCTCGTTTCAAGTGATTGCGCATTTTATTGTTGCCTGCTATTCAACTAGTTGCTGGAATTAGTCATGCATCTTGTGCTTCTTTACCTTTTTTCATTCACAGGAGTATAAGTCTAGTCAATTTGTCTTTGACATAAGTGAACTACAAATATGAAAATGATCAAACAATGTCTTCGTTGGTTGATGAGTCTATTTGTGAAATATTAGAAGTTTTAAATTTGGATTACTAGGTACAACCATGAATGCTTGATAGGTTGTGTTGTAATTAAAGTGTTAAATTGGGTCATTTGTTATATTTGAATTTAAAGACCCAAATTTTTTATTTAATTTTGTTTTATTTCAAAAAATTCAATTACATTTTAAAATTTTTTATGATAATTTAATATCAATTAATCAAACAAATCGATCGATTTTAACTAATAAACCGATTAAACTGAATTCGATCAAATCGATTAAAAATTCTGTCGAAATTGGGCCTAGCAATTATATCCATGATTTCAAACGGTTTGATATATTGAGCTCAAGTTCAACCTAAACCGATTGATGTCTAACCCTAATATATATATATATATATATATATATATATATATATATATATATATATATATATATATATATATATATATATATATATATATATATATATATATATATATATATATATATATATATATATATATATATATATATATATATATATATATTGAGACCAAGTATCATTTCTGAGACATCAAGTTCAGAGTGTAGTGTTAGAAGTTGTACACTGCAGCACTCAGAAACAGTTGGCAGATGTTCTGACAAAAGCTATCAAGACTGATCAATTTCTCAGACTAAGGGATGGAATTGGTGTTACAAATTTTGATGGAATATGAATTAAGGGATGGTATTAGAAGTAATTCATGTTTAATTAGGTGTACTATTTTCTTAGCCCCTAAGTTTGTTAGAGGGTATTTTAGTATTTTATCTTATTCTAGTAACCATAGTTTTAACTTATAAATAGGGTTGCAATCATTGTTATTTGTAGTAGTGTGTGTAGCCGTCATTCTCTTAATAGAATATTTCTCTTTTCATCATTTATTCTACCTTTGCACCAACAATTGGTATCAGAGCTCCGGTTCAGATTCATTGGGAAACACGGGAAACACGAGTGAACGTGAGGTCTTGTGTGTTTGATTTTGATTCTTAGATTCGTGTTGAATCTTGAACAAAATCTGATCAGAATTTTAATTCTGTGGGTTGGGAAACACTGTGTGAGAAATCTGAGTGTATTGTGCAAGGTAGAAGATGAACGGAAACGGCAACATGAACACCAAACTTCCAGTATTTGACGGTAAAAACTGGAACCATTGGATGATCCAAATGCGTGTACTGTTTGGTGCTCAAGATGTTCTAGATCTTGTCACTGATGGTTATGTTTCAGTAGCAGCAAATGCAACAGATGAACAGAAAAACGCGCAGAAGGAAGTAAGGAAGAAGGATCAGAAAGCATTGTTCTTCATTCATCAATGTGTGGATGTAAATGTGTTTGAGAAGATTGCAGATTCAACAACATCAAAGGCTGCGTGGGACACACTGGTGAGATGTTATGGTGGTGACGCATCAGTGAAGAAGGTAAAACTTCAGTCCTTGAGAAAGCAATATGAGAATCTCAACATGAAGAATAATGAGAAAGTCTCTGAATACATCTCCAGAATGATTCTGATCACTAATGAGATGAAGGCGTGTGGAGAAACTCTTTCTGAAGAAGCAATCATTGAAAAAGTATTGAGATCTCTTACCCTTCAATTTGATTACATTGTGGTAGCAATAGAACATTCCAAAGATCTGAGCACCATGAGAATTGAAGAGCTGCAGAGCAGTCTAGAAGCGCAAGAGTTGCGTTTGACTGAGAGAACTTCTGAAAAGGAAGTAGAGCAGCAGGCTCTGAAAGCAACTTCTGATAGGAGGTATCAGAAGCAGTCAGAAGCCAGGAGAAGATCTGATGGTGGTCAAAAGTCAGAAAGCTCAACCTTTGATAGACAAAAGAATGCTCATAAGGGAAAAGAGAAGTATGACAAGAAGAAGATCCAATGTTACTGTTGTAAGAAGTTTGGTCACTTTGCTAGAGATTGTTGGTCAAACAAGGAGATAAAATCAGAAGAAGCAAATATAGCCAGAAGTTCTGATGACGAATCTGTGCTATTGATGGCCTCTGAATCTGATAATATGAATCTGATAGACTGGTGGTATATGGACACTGACTGTTCAAATCATCTTACTGGAAACAAGAAATGGCTGGTTAACTTTGACTCTGAAAAGAGAACAAAGATCAGATGTGCTGATGACAAATATCTTAATGCAGAAGGTATGGGAAATGTCAGAGTGATTCTGAACAATGGTAAAACAGCATTGATTCAGAACGTGTGGTATGTACCTGGCATCAGAAGCAATCTGATGAGTGTGGGACAATTAATTGAGAAAGGTTTTTCAGTTACCATGAAGGACAATCTTCTGAAGCTGTATGACTGCAATCAGAAGTTGATTATGGAGTCAGAACAGGGAAGGAATAGAACATTCAAGGTGAATGTCAGAATTGCAGACTCAGAATGTCTTAGTGCAACAAATGCTGAGAAGGAGAGTGAGCTGCGGCACAGAAGATTTGGTCATTTGAATTTCAGAAGCTTAAAACATCTGAATTCAAAGAAGTTGGTACATGGAATTCCTGCAATTAAGAAGCCTGAAAAGTCATGCAAAGTTTGCATGGAAGGAAAACAACCACGATTGCCATTTGCGTCAGAAGCGGCTCCAAGAGCAAAACATGCCTTGGGAGTTGTACATTCTGATGTGTGTGGTCCATTTCCAGTAGCATCAATTGGAGGGAATAAATACTTTGTGTTGTTTGTTGATGAATTCACAAGAATGACATGGGTATCCCTTATTAAGTTTAAACATGAGGTGTTTGATGAATTCAAGAAGTTCAGAATGAAGGCTGAGAATCAGAGTGGTCAGAAGTTGAAGATTCTTAGAACTGATGGTGGAGGTGAGTATAACTCCAAAGAGTTCCAGAAGTTCTGTGAAGAGAATGGAATTGAGCATGAGGTTACTGCTCCTTATACCCCTCAACACAATGGTCTTGCTGAAAGAAGAAACCGCACTTTGCTTGATATGGTGAGAAGCATGCTAAAGGAGAAGAAGCTTCCTCAAAAGCTTTGGGGAGAAGCTGTTGCCACTGCAACGTGTGTACTCAACAGATGTCCTACGAAGAAGTTGAAAGAAATAGTTCCAATACAAAAGTGGACTGGAGATAAGCAAAGTGTTAGTCATCTAAAGGTGTTTGGTTCTGTTTGCTATAAACATGTTTCAGAAGTCAGAAGACAGAAGCTGGATGATAGAAGCAAAGTGATGATTCTGATAGGGTACCACAGTACAGGTGCATACAAGCTCTATTGTCCAGAAACCAATAAAATTAAATTCAGCAGAGATGTGATTGTGAAGGAATCAGAAGTTTGGAATTGGGATAAGTCTCAATCTGATTCTGATGTTAGAACTTCTGAAGAAAGGTCAGAGTTAAGAATTTCTGAAGTTGGAGTAAACTCTGACGTTGACTCTGATAGTAAGTCAGACTCTGGAGAAGACTCAGAAGATGAAGGTGACTCTGATGATCCAGACTCTGATGGTAATCCAGATTCTGGTGGCAATTCAGACTCTGAAGATAGCCAAGGCTCTGGAGGAAGTCAATCAATCTTGCCAGAAATCCAGTGTTGCATGGGAGAAGCAAGCATATTGAGACCAAATATCATTTTCTGAGACATCAAGTTCAGAGTGGAGTGTTAGAAGTTGTACACTGCAGCACTCAGAAACAGTTGGCAGATGTTCTGACAAAAGCTATCAAGACTGATCAATTTCTCAGACTAAGGGATGGAATTGGTGTTACAAATTTTGATGGAATATGAATTAAGGGATGATATTAGAAGTAATTCATATTTAATTAGGTGTACTATTTTCTTAGCCCCTAAGTTTGTTAGCGGGTATTTTAGTATTTTATCTTATTCTAGTAACCATAGTTTTAACTTATAAATAGGGTTGCAATCATTGTTATTTGTAGTAGTGTGTGTAGCCGTCATTCTCTTAATAGAATATTTCTCTTTTCATCATTTATTCTACCTTTGCACCAACAATATATATATATATATATATATATATATATATATATATATATATATATATATATATATATATATATATATATATATATATATATATATATATATATATATATATATATATATATATATATATATATATATATATATATATATATATATATATATATATATATATATATATATATATATATATATATATATATATATATATATATATATATTGATTTAGGCATATAGGTGTCAAGTTATAGTTTAGTGAAAAGTGAGAGTGATCCAACCTTGTCTTTTTATGATTTAAAGCGTAATATGTCATCACCATAGTTAACAAACCCTTTTACACTTTATAGATATGTTCACGTGGATAATTATTATCATCATCATATAATATTATAAAAATAAGTAAACGTTGTCCAAATCTTGCATTCTTGTCTCCTTGGCCGCGTAGTGAACTTTGTTCACTACTCTCCTCACTCACACGTGTACAACCAAACACGCATTCGAACTGAGTTGACCCATCATAATTAGTCAAATTTCATCACTCGCATCACTTATCCACCTATATATATGTATATATCTTCAGCCGTAAAACTCAACTCTCAAACGCAGCCAAAAACATCACTCTACAACACAGATAATATTCCTCTTAAAAAAAACACCTTTCAATTCTAACAAAAACAACACTAAAATCGTAACAACATTAAGCGTTTGTATACTGACTTTCTAGAGTGTGAATATGGTGAAAACGAATGTGGAGAAACCTGCGGCGGAACGAAGTGATTCATTGTTCCGAGGAGTGAGGAAGAGGAAGTGGGGAAAGTATGTGTCGGAAATCAGATTACCAAACAGCCGTCAAAGAATATGGTTAGGCTCTTATGACTCCGCAGAAAAAGCGGCGCGTGCATTTGACGCGGCTATGTTCTGCTTACGTGGCAGTGGTGCAAGGTTTAATTTCCCAAATGATATTCCTGATATTGCCGGAGGTAGGCTCATGACCCATTCTGAGATTCAAGAAGCCGCCGCCCAATTTGCCAATTCGGAGCCCTGTAATGAGTATTCGGGTCGAACTGGTAATAGTCCGGATCAAACACCATCTTCTTCGGTGGGAACACCGATCACTCCATTGTTGCCTATGGAGTTTCCATCTCCTGCTCTCTCCGATGTTACAGTTCAAACAGAGAGTGACATAGCGGATAACGGGTTGTTTAGGGATTTGTTTTCAGACACCGGTTCGGGTTACACTATGTTTCCGGGGTTTGATGATTTTTACGGCGAGTTTTACGTGCCGGAGTTCACAAATTTTGATTATGAACCAGAGAAGATGGATGAGTTGATAATTTACGATTCCTTTTTATGGAGTTTCTAAATTATTTCGTACGGGTTGGGTTGGATTTTTGCCCGGATTCAAAACCGGGTTTGGGTGGGTCAACTTGTTTTTTAATAGGATCAATTGCTTTTCAAATTCTCTTGTCATAATTTTTGCCGAGACATTTCGGATTTGATTTTGTGGATATGAATCATGAACAATGTAAATTGGTCTAATGATGTAAATTTTTTGCCATTGTTTGAACTATAAATGGATAAGATTTTTCTACATTATATACTATTTATTGCCTTGATATAGACATGTGGAGTCTGGTTAGTCACAAGTACATCTTAATTTTTTTTTAAATTCAAAAATAGCAATATATTACTGAAGAAATGGCATAAGCAATGCCAATAACAGCAACAGATTCCATACAACCAGGCACATACAGAGTACTAGAAAACTCATACTCCCTACCCCAATACAAAGAAATTTTCATACTTGATATGATAAATTTATATGTTAAACACGTAAAACAGAATACTCCAACCCTATGGGGTAGCAAAGAAGAACAAAACAGCACCAATTTCGAAACTAGTTGCACCGAAAACAGCTTTGGAAACTATTCACCAATGAGCAACTCGGACAAAACTCAAAGAACTGCATGCAAGCAGACGGCAACGCAGCAAGGCTCAACTGACAAACTCCTTTCCACTGTCCAGTACAGCGTCTAAAACCGAGGAAACACACGACTATTACACAAAAGAAGAAGTGACGATGAGGACGAAACACCGAAACCATTACCGGCACTTCCAAATATCCTGATGCACATTTGATACTGCTAATATGATGCAATTCCATACACTCCAATGCCAGCTCGATACAGAAAAAAAATCCATATACACTAACGCCAAAACGGAACCACATCATACTCTATAAGATCCCAAATTAATTAATCCAAAACTTGTACATTGTCCTCCATTTCAAACATGACAACACATCAACACTAACCAACCACAACTTCAGTCCTTAACCAGAAAACAACACCGACACACAGAGCACCATAAACAACCTGCAGAGCCTAAACGAACCAGAAAACGCGACACCAATAAGGGCAAACATAACCTAACGACAACCTGTTCTAGTAGGATATTAGCTACTCTGACTAGCCAATATACACTTTTAGGTTTGATATTCAATGGAATAGATCAAAACTGAATCCCTTGATCTTCGATTTAAGCCATCTCCAAGAAACAGCTTGATTGTCAAAGATAACAGCTCTGCTAGATCTGTCCGGATTTTTAAAAATCTTCTCGTTTCTTCGTTTCCAAATGCTCTAGATAGCTGCAAACCAAATAATAACAAGTCTCTCCTTGACCACTCTTCCACCTTTTGAAAGACCTGTTAAATTGAACAAAATTTTGCCAAGGAAAGTTATGCATAACATACAAAAATCCAAGCCATCTTAGGACCTCGCTCCATGTAACCAAAGCCGACGGACTTTCGAAGAAAATATGCAATATATTTTCCTCAATACCGCAGCCATACAAACATGAACTTTGAGAATCACCTAAGATACCCCTATTTACCAAGTTATCTCTACTTAGAAGCCTGTTTTTCCATAATCTCCATGCTAGGATCGAGACTTTAAGAGGATCAAGACAATTCCAAGCAGCTACCAAATCTTTGTTAGCTTCAATATGCGTCACCTTTCCTTTCGATATCTCTTGGTACGCTTCCTTTACCGAGTATTCAGATTTTCTCCACCTCCATTTGTCTTTGACCCCACTTCTTAAATGAAATCCAGTTCAAACAACTGCATGGTTACTTTAATCGCCCAAACATTTTTCCAACTTTTGGCACCTGTAATAATAATGTCATCAGCATGCTGTATGTGCGAAACCTGCACCTCACGGATACCGAAGTCATACCCATCGAACAAATTTCTTCGCACACTTTTATCCATCAAAAAACTAAAGCCTTCTGCCACCAAGAGGAAAAGGAACAGGGATAGAGGGTCGGTCCCTAGAACAACATAAAACATAAAAGCTGAATTTCAAGGTAGTAACAATGGTGAAAAGAAATTTGGGGAAGAAGATGAGATTGAGAGAGAAAGAGAGAATAGGGAAGAGAGTAAAATTGGATGAATCACTAAATTGGCATTAACAATGAATTGAGATTACAACAATGTATATATACACATGAGAGAGTAATCAAAAACAAACAAAACCAACTAAAGTGGTCAAAGCTGTTAAATTTCCAAAACAGAATTTGACAGCTTTCAACACACCACCTCACTTTAGTTGCTCCAAATTCATCATGCTCAAACTCTTCAACAGTCTCTTGAACACCTCATTTGTCACACCCTTTGTCAACAAATACGCAACTTGGTCCTCGCTTCGGCAATAGCTCAATCTAAGCTTTCCTTCACCGACCAATTCTCTCAAGTAATGAAACCGCATCTCAATATGCTTGCTCCTTCCGTGTGCAATCGGATTCTTTGCAAGATTTATCGCGGAAACATTATCCACAAACAGTGTGGTGGCATCATCATCACCACATCCCAATTCCTTCATGAGATTCACTAACCATATAGCTTGGCAAGCACTCAATGATGCCGCAATGTACTCGGCCTCACAAGAAGAGAGTGCTACAACCGGTTCCTTCTTCGAACACCATGAGATTGGTGTACTATCGAACATAAAGATGTAACCCTTCGTAGATTTCCGATCATCTTTATCTCCGCACCAATTAGAATCGGTGTAGCCAAGTAAAGTACATTTGCGACCCATATCCGATGTGGGAAACAAAATACCACAACCAAGAGTACCTTTCACATATCTAAGGATTCTCTTGACCGTCGCCAAATGAGACACCTTAGGTTTCTCCATGAATCTACTCGCAATACCGACACTAAAAACCAAGTCCGGTCGAGTATTGCACAAATACCGTAACGATCCAATCAAACTCTGGTAAAGTGTTGGATCCACATCATCCTCATCGTCACTTTTGGACAGCTGAACTCTAGCCTCACAAGGTGTATTAGAAGCATTACAATGCTCCATTTCACACTTTTTCAAGATATCTAGAGCATACTTTCTTGGATGCATAAGCAGCCCCACTTTTAACTTGTGGAACTCTATGCCAAGAAAGTATCTCATGACACCAAGGTCCGTCATCTCAAACTCACTCATGAGCTCCCCTTTGAACCTTGAAATACTCTTGTCATTGCTGCCCGTAATCAAGAGATCATCAACATACAAGCATAGTATAATAACACCATCAATATTATCCGATCTCACATAAACACCATGTTCGGATACACATCGTTTGAAACCGATGTCAACAAGAAAGCCGTCTATACGTTTGTTCCAAGCTCTTGGAGCTTGTTTCATACCATATAACACCTTGTGTAGCTTGTAATACTTCCTCTCTTGATTTTTGATCACGAAACTGGGTGGTTGCCCCACATAAACCTCCTCATTAAGAGGACCATTCAAAAACGTAGATTTCACATCCATTTGGTAAATCACCCAATTGTTGCTATGCGCAATTCCAACAACCAAACGAATAGTCTTCAATCTAGCCACCGGTGCAAATACCTCCTCGTAATCTATACCTTCACGTTGCAAGAACCCTTTCTCCACTAATCGAGCTTTGTGCTTGATTACTTCACCTTTAGGATTTACTTTAACTTTATAGACCCATCGCACACCTATCGGTTTCTTTCCGAGTGGTAAATCGACCAACTCCTAAGTACCATTTTTCTCAATAGATTCCAGCTCCTCTTTCATTGCACATATCCATTTAGGATCGCTTAAGGCTTCCTCCTCATTTACCGGTTCAGATTCGGCCATAAGCGCGAAATGAACAAAATCACCATCATTATTCACTTCGGTATCTTGGAACCTCTCGTAGTCTCGGAGTCTATGAGGCAAGGCTCTTTACCTCACTGGTCTACCATTATTCACTACAACATTTTTGGCTACTGTAGGTGCAGGTACAGCGGCATCGGAACCCTCCGGATCAGACAACTCGAAGAACTGCTGCTGCTGTCCTGCTGTTTCAGCAGCTTTTATTTCTTCAAAAAATACATCCCGGGTTATCACGATTTTCCGATTCTTCTCATCAAATAACTTGTAACCTCCAGTAGAGTGATATCCAACAAATATCAACTTCTCACCTTTATCATCCAACTTCTTTCTAAGTTGATTCGATACATGACGATATGCAATCGATTCAAAAACGCGCAAATGATTCACACTCGGTTTGAAACCACTCCAAACCTCTTCTGGTGTGATCTTCTCCAGCTTCTTAGTAGGACACCTATTCAACAAGTAGGTGGCTGTAGACACGGCCTCACCCCACAATTCCTTAGGCAACTTCTTCCTACAAAGCATACTACGCACCATGTTCATTATTGTACGATTTTTCCTCTCGGCTGCCCCGTTTTGTTGAGGCGTATATGGAGGCACCACCTCACGCACAATACCCTCAAGATCACAAAACTTCCCAAACTCACTAGAAGTATATTCACCTCCACCATCCGTTTTGAGAATTTTGAGCTTCTGACCGCTTTGACGCTCCACCATGGACTTGAAACTCTTGAACACTCCAAATACCTCATCCTTCCTCTTGATAAGATATGTCCAAAGCTTCCTACTAAAGTTGTCAATAAACGTAACAAAATATCGATTGCCGCCATAAGTCTCTACTTGCATCGGTCCACAAACATCGGAATACACCACCTCAAGTAAGCCTTTGGTTCTTCGACCCACATCCTTGCTAAACACATTATTGTGTTGCTTACTCTTCATACATTCCTCACACAATTCTGTCGGAACACTAATATGTGGCAGCCCCGTTACCATTTCACTTTGTTGCAACATTTTGAGATCCCTAAAATTTAGGTGACCAAGACGGTAATGCCATAACCACTCATCTCTACTTGCCGCGGTAGCTAAACAACAATGCTCCATAACCTTTAACTCAACCTTAAAAGTTCTATTAGCAGCCATCGGCGCTTTTAGAATCAACACGCCACTTGAATCTAAAACGCG